TGCTCCCTCCTCCCTATGACTTCCTCCCACATATTTATACATGGCTACCATTTCTCCTCTCAGCCTTCTCTTCTTCAGGCTAAACATGCCCAGCTCTTTAAGCTGCTCCTCACAGGGTTTGTTTTCCAGACGGTTGATCATTTTAGTCGCCCTCCTCTGGACACATTCCATCTCATCATTATTATCATTGCCATAATTGTCACCATCATTCTTTAATGAAAAGCCAGGTTTCAACTCTATAAGTAAAAAAGAAAATGTGTGCATATTTTTTTCCTTTCTTTTTTACTGAGTTACATATGTCCTTAATGGAGTAATGTCCGTCACTGAAACTTCTCTTTGAATTTGAGAATGACTACACCGTAACTACAATGTGAAATAAGTCTGTGAATCTGAGGAACAACGAACCAACCCTTTGCTGAAAATGTTTGAGGACCCCTCTCACAGAAGTTTTCATTTGTGTGATTTGGGGAAAATTGTTACCTGGCTAGGGTAACTTAAAATTCGTTTTGAACATAGACATGGAGGCTTTCTTTTTCCTCACTTTTGAGGGTGTGTGTTGTTTGACCAAGGCAACTTGAAATTTGAACTGCATTAGACGTAGGGCCTAAGTAGCACAGGGTGTTAAACTGCTAGCTGTAGGAAAGCTGCTGACCGGAAGGTCGGCAGTTCAAAGCTGCGAGTCAGGGTCAGCTCTCGACTGTCAGCCCTAGCTCCTGCTGATCTAGTAGTTTGAAAGCATGTCATACAAGTAGATCAGTCAGTATTGCCTCACCGGGAAGATAAAAGGACGAACCATGCAGATATACCGGCAACACAGTCAGAGATGTCAATGGACAACAGGCTCCTTGGCATGGAAAAACAGAACAAGAGCACCTCCCTATGGCCAGAGTTGAGCATCACTTCCAGATGCCAGAGATAGAAAAAGAGGAAGCCCTTTACCTTTGTTTCTGTTGTATGTCGTTGTCCGCCGTGTGTATAAAAAGGCATTGGATGTTTGCCTCATGTGTATATTGTAATCCATTCTGAATCTCTTCGGGGAGATAAAGCATAATATAAATAAAGTGTATTATTTCACTGTAGATAGCGGCCATGTCATGAAGCTTTCCTTCATGTACTTTTGAGTTCATTGTCCGACTGCCACAGTTTGAAGCTAGCTTCGAACTGCATTAAATGCACAGTGTATGGGCCATAGTTGTGGAAGCTTTCTTTTGCGCAGGGAGTTTGTTATCTGTGGCATTTGGAACTGAACTCAGTGCTCAGTGTTGATGGGGCCATAGTTGCAGAAGCTTCTATGCCATATATTCCAGATCAAAGCAGAAAATGTGGGATTTTATTCAACTGTGTGGACGAGGACTTAGCCAGGGAGTTTGTTGCCTGGCTAAGGCCTCTTCCACACAGCTGAATAAAACCCCAAATTTTCTGCTTTGATATGGAATATATGACAGTGTGGACTCAGATAATCCCATTCAAAGCAGATTATTGAGGGATTTATTGTCTTGATATTCTGGGTTATATGGTTGTGTGGAAGGTTCCTCAGAGGAAGAAATAAGGGATATAAATTGCTTGCTTTTCCATACAGGGGATTTAATGCTTGGTCAGTGACAGGACAAATGCTGAACTCTTTTGATGTGAGTATGTCCAGTATGGATGGTTGTGCACAGTTTGAAGTTGGAACTGCATTCAATGCTCAGTATTGTCAGGAAAGCCATAATCAGGGAAGCTTTCTTTTGCAGCCTTTTGAGGGAAGTAGCTCTTTGGGTTCCTCAGCTTGAAGCCGGCTCTGAACGGCATTAAATGGACAGTGTAGATAGGGGGACCATGGATGCTGAAGCTTTCTTTTGCATGCTTTGGGGGGAGTGTGTTGCCTGGCCAAGGCAGTGTGAAGTGAGAACTGCATTCAGTGCTTAATCTAGGCCCTTTCCACACAGCTGAATAAAATCCCACCTTATCTGCTTTGAACTGGGATACACACACACACACACACACACACACACACACATATATATACAGTATTTCTAGCCTGCCTTTCTCAGCCCTAAGGCAACTCAAGGCGGGCAACAATCTGATGCCATACATTAATTAAAATACAATTAAAACAATCAACATAACAATATAAAACATATAAACACCATTAAAAACATATAATCACCAGTGTTGTTCTGTTAAAATCATTTCCCAGTAGCATCGTCCATGTTCTTACTTCATAGTGTCATGTTTATCTATTCTGCTGCATTTTCACAAAGCTTGCTCAAAGAGTGTGGACTCAGCCCAGTTCAAAGCAGATAAGGTGGGATTTTCTGCCTTGATGTTGTTGTTCATTTGTTCAGTCACTTCCAACTCTTCGTGACCTCATGGACCTGCCCATGCCAGAGCTCCCTGTCGGCCGTCACCACCCAGCTCCTTCAGAGTCAAGCCAGTCACTTCAAGGATATCATCCATCCATCTTGCCCTTGGTCGGCCCCTCTTCCTTTTTCCTTCCATTTCCCCAGCATAATTGTCTTCTCTAAGCTTTCCTTTCTTCTCATGATGTGGCCAAATACTTCATCTTGGCCTCTAATATCCTTCCTTCCAATGAGCAGTCGGGCTTTATTTCCTGAAGTATGGACTGGTTGGATCTTCTGGCGGTCCAAGGCACTCTCAGAACTTTCCTCCAACACCACAGTTCAAAAGCATCTATCTTCCTTCGCTCAGCCTTCTCTAAAGTCCAGCTCTCACATCCGTAGGTGACTATGGGGAATACCATTGCTTTAACTATGCGGATCTTTGTTGAGTGATATTGATGCCGAGCATCTTTCCCCCCCCCTCCCAAGTATTTGTAGTTCGCCAAGGGCCGGACAATGGATTCTGCTGCTTCCTGACCCAGCGCACATAACTGGGTTCCTGTCTCCTCTTTGTGAACTCTCTGACTTATGCACTGGACTATGGACTCTGCTACTACCCAACCCAGCGCCCATCACTGGGCTTCTGCCTTTTTCTTATTGACTCTCTGCTTCATGAACTGAACTGTTTGCCATATCCCTGGCCACGAACTTCCTTCTGGTGCTTGCCTTGAAATGCAAGCAGCCTCGTTTCCACGCACCTTTGCCAAAGGACTATGAGATCTCCAGTTTGCGTTATAATAAAGATCCAATATTGTAATAAACTTTTGCTGGGGATGGGGGGGTGGTGGGATTGTCTCATGAAATGTAAGATATATGAAATCTATGTAATGGAATATTGTATGAAATGTGCTCTGGTCCCCCTCCCTGCTTCTCCTCTCTGACCCTTTGCCCCAAAAAGAATGTGACCCGAGGATTACTGTAACAGGGAGGAAATCCTTTGTCCTCCCGAAACGGTCCATATTTACATTTGCATGGGCCCGTGATTGATTCCTTCTCAAACTTACTTTCAGAGCAGACAGTAAGATGAGAGGAGGGTCAACAGAAACTTAGGAAGAACAGACTGATTGACTCATTTTTAGGTATTTTGTTGATCCCCCTTTTGAGGTCCAAATGCCACCGAAAGCTTCTTTTCATACTTCCTCCCAAATCCCATCACAGACCAGGAAACTTATTGTTCCCCTATCAGACACCCCGCCAGGTGAGGACAAAAGCCTCACATTCCCCTTAAGGCTGTCATTTCCTCAGTCTTTGTCAAGCTTCGTCCCGCCTCCTGGCTGCCGATTGGTCCATCTTCAGAGGCGCTAGGAAGGCACTGATTGGCCTCCCAGAGGCAGCGGAGCCCGCTGATTGGTCCAGAGGCGAGGCATGCTGCCAAGCCTCCTCCCAGCTGTTCCGCGGCCAGCCAATCAGCACGAAGCCGGCTGACAGAGGGCGGGCGGGATTTTTGAAACTGTTTTCCTTTGTCTGTGTACTATAAAAATGCTTGGAAATTCTGTAAAACCATGCTTGCAGTGGAATGATTCCTGTAATGCATCTGATCTCAGCTGAATCACAATAAACCTCGGTTGCTGAAAAGAAACTTCTTCCACTTGGATGAGGCATTATTATTTATAATATTTTTACTCTTTGGATTGGCTCTCGCTGGCCTCACCAAGGGACCCAGAGCCCTTTAGGCGCGGTCCTCGGGTTTCTCTCTCTCTCAAGGAGACCCCGCTAAAAGCAGCTCGATATCAATGTCTCTACTCTTCACTATTTTATTGAGATTGGTCATTGCTCTCCTCCCAAGAAGTAAGTGTCTCCTGATTTCCTCGCTGCAGTCTGCAACTGCAGTAATCTTTGCAGCCTCCACATTTTCTCCCTCTTATTTGCCAGTTATCAATCAGTCTGGTTGCCATAATCTTGGTGTTTTTTTTTAATGTTTAACTACAACCCAGCTTTTGTGCTTTTTTCTTTCACCTTGGTTAGAAGGCTCCTCAGCTCCTCCTCACTTTTGGCCATCAAAGTGGTATCATCTACATATCTAAGGTTATTAACGTTTCTTCTGCCTTGATATTCTGGGTTATATGGGTGTGTAGAAGGGCCCTCTGGCAGTTCGAAGTTGGAACTGCATTGAATACTCAGTATAGAGGAGGCCATAGTCAGGGATGCTTCCTTTTGCAGCCTTTTAAGGGGAGTTGTTGCCTGGTTTGCTCAGCTTGAAGAGAGCTCCGAACTGCATTAAATACACAGCGTAGATAGGGGCCAAAGGGCTTTTCCACACAGCCCTATATCCCAGAATATCAAGACAGAAAATCCCACATTTTCTGAGTGAGGACTCAGATAAACCAGTTCAAAGCAGATATTGTGGGATTTTCTATCTTGATCTTCTGGGATTCTGTGTGGAAGGGCCCATAGACGCTGAAGCTTTGGAGGGAGTGTGTTGCCTGGCCCAAGGCAGTGTGAAGTTGGAAGTGCATTCAATGCTCAAAGTAGGCAGGGGCCATAGTGGAGGAAAGGGGCGGCGAACCCTTTCCCATGGCTAGGGAGATGCAGGGCAGGGCAGGGCAGCGAAGCCGTTCCTCGGCTTGTGATTGGCCGAGAGTGCAGAGCGCGCTCCGCCCATTGGCTGGGGCCCCTCCTCTCTCTTTCCCAGCGGCGGCGGGGTTTCCAACCTGGTCCTCCTTCCAGGCTCTGTTGCCTTGCTGGGAGGGAGTGCGCTGCTGCTGCTGCTGCTGCTGCTGACCGGAGGAGAAGCGTCATGGATGCGGGGCTGTTGCGCGTGTGGTGGGCGCTGCTGGCGCTGGCGGTGCCCGGGGGCCGGGGGTCCAGGCTCTTCCCCTTCGGCTCGGAGCGCGGCGACGCGGAGCTGGAGCCCGGGGACGACGCCACCTCCCCGCCCCTCGACCTCCGCGCCCCGCTCCGCTTCTACGCCTCCCGCGTGGGGACCCTCTATGTAAGGAAGGACGGAAGGAGGGAGGGAGGCAGGGGGCTGCTCTGGGGAAAGGGAGCGGAAGGAATACAGGGTCGCTGTTAGTCTTTCGGGTTGTCTGGCCATGTTCCAGAAGCAGTCTCTCCTGACGTTTCGCCTGCATCTATGGCAGGCTTCCTCAGAGGTTGTGAGGTCTGTTGGAAACTAAGCAAGTGGGGTTTACATATCTATGGAATGTCCAGGGTGGGAGAAAGACCTGTCTGCTTGAGGCAAATGTGAATGTTGCCATTGGCTACCTTGATTAGCACTGAATGGCCTTGCAGCTTCAAAGCCTGGCTGATTCCTGCCTGGGGGAATCCTTTGTTGAGAGGTGTTAGTTGGCCCTGATGGTTTCTTGTCTGGAATTCCCCAGCTTTTTGAGTGTTGCTTTTTATTTACTGTCCCAATTTTAGAGTATTTTTTAAAAATACTCTTAGCCAGATTTTGTTCATTTTCATAGTTTCCTCCAATTTCTGTTGAAATTGTCCACGTTCTTGAGGATTTCAATGGCGTCACTTTTGAGGGAGTGTGTTGTTTGGCCAAGGCGGCTTGAAGTTTGAATTGCATGAGATATTCACTGTAGATAGCGGTCATTGTCATGAAGCTTTCCTTCGTGTACTTTTGAGTTCATTGTCTGACTGCCACAGTTTGATGCAAGCTTCAAACTGCATTACATCTATATAAATAAAAATGTAATGTTCGTTTGTGGGATTAACATCACTCAAAAACCACTGGACAAATTGACACAAAATTTGGACACAAGACACCTAACAGTTCAAAGACCCCTAAACACACACACACACACACAAAACCCCAGCAGAACAGACTTAAAACCCCCCAAAATACACCATATATACATATACAAATACACTCATATACATATACACATGCACACATTCATACACACACATGTATATATATGCATAAACACACACAAATATACACATGCATACATATATACACATACGTACACATATATACACACAAATATTCATATAGACAAGTACACACATATACACAATATGCATGTACACATATAAATACACAAACACAACACGCATATACACAAATATGTACACACACATAAACACAGACTGGGCCACAGCAGCACATGGCAGGGGATGGCTAGTGGGGTTTATATATCTATGAAATGTCTGGGGTGGGAGAAAGAAACAGGGTGGGAGAGAGAACAGGGGAACTCCAGACAAGAAACAATTAGGGACAGCTAATCACCTCTCAACAAAGGAGTCCGCCAGGCAGTAGGAAGGTACACTTTGAAAAACTGCCAGGCCATTAAATACTAATCAAGGAGACTAATAGAAACATGAACACCTACCTTAAAACAGACAAGAGTTCTTTCTTCCCACCTGGACATTCCACAGATATATAAACCCCATTTTCCTAGTTTCCAAGAGAACTCACAATGTCAGCAAGAACTCTTGTAAAAGCCATTGAAATCTACAAGAATGTGGATAATTTCAACAGGAAGAAACCATGAAAATGAACAAAATCTGGCTACCAGTATTAAAAAAAATCTAAAATTATAACAATAAATAAAGAACAACATTCAAACACGGGAACTCAAGACAAGAAATAATCAGGGACAGCTAATCACCTCCCAACAAAGGATTCCCCCAGGCAGTAAGAAGCCACACCTTGCAAAACTGCCAGGCCATTAAATGCTAATCAAGGTGGACAATTGAAACATTCATACCTACCTCCAACAGACAAGAGTTCTTTCTCCCACCCTGGACTTTCCACAGATATATAAACCCAATTTTCCTAGTTTCCAACAGGCAGGATGCCTGCCCTAGATGCAGGTGAAATGTCAGGAGATAATGCTTCTGGAACATGGCCACACAGACCACACAGGGGTCTCTTACACAAAATGGAAACATCAAGGCTTGCTTTTTCAATTAAAAAGTATTTCCAAGGTATGGGAAAGTTGGAACCTCCAAAGGTGCAGTGGGTTAAACCGCTGAGCTGCTGAACTTGATGACCGAAAGGTTGACAGGTCGAGTGGGGTGAGCTCCCGCTTTTAGACCCAGCTTCTGCCAACCTAACAGTTTGAAAACATGCAAATGTGAATAGATCAATAGGTACCGCTTCTGCAAGAAGGTAACGGTGTTTCATGCAGCCATGCCAGCCACATGACCTTGGAGGTGTCTACGGACAATGCTGGCTCTTCAGCTTAGAAATGGAGATGAGCATCACCCTCCAGTGTCAGACACAACTAGACTTAATATCAAGGGGAAACCTTTACCTTTTATGGGAAAGTTGAATTCATGGATACAGAAGGCTGACTGTAGCGTGCTAGGACTTGAGATTGTTTTACTTTCTATTAATTCTCCGTTACCTTGGTGGCTGCAGTGCTTTGGTACAGTGGGAAAGTGTTTGTGTTTGCCTTTGTTTGTGTGGCAAGAGATTGGCTGAGATGGTAACACAAGTTGACTTGACCAAGTCTACCTCTAGGATTGAGGCCCCTTCCACACAGCTGAATAAATCCCACACTATCTGCTTTGAACTGGAATATATGGCAATGTGGACTCAGACAACCCAGTTCACAGCAGATATTGTGGGATTTTCCGCCTTGATTTTCTTGGGTTATATGGCTGTATGGAAGAGTCCTCACTCCTTGGACAGGCATGTTAAATAAAACTCTAGAGTGAAGGTTTAAATAATTTCAAATGTTTATGTCAGTCTGTTGCTACTAAACAACAGATAGATAAGTTAAACTTCTTGAAACACCCTCCAACAGCTGTAGCATTGTCTTCTTTTTAAAGCAGTGTTTTAAACCCAGCAGTGTCCGTTGCATTTTGGAGTATGGGATAGGCTGCCCTTCAAGGAATGTAAATGTCAAAAGCATCCCATAAAACTGGAAGCTCCTGACAAAAAAATGCAATCCTTATCAGGAAAAGACATTATGCAGGAGCAGGCCCGGAAGATGTTTGCTAGCTGGGAAGGGGAGAGCAGTTCCAAATCATTTTGGCAACTAAAGTATAGTTTTGCTAATTCCAAACAAATAGAAAACAGATGGGCTTTGTCCTTTCCAGGATTTGGAACTCCCACTGGAAGAAGCTTTGTTGCTGTCATTGCAGCAGTTTACTCCACTGAAATGTAAATAAATGTATGCCTGTGCATTTGGGTACAAAGGGTCAAATTCTGTTCTTTTAAAAAAAAAATTAACATTCCTATTCTGACACTATATTGTCCAAGAAAGATGTAATCCATAGAGATTCTTGCCCGCTGAATTCTGCTTGTTTACATGAATTTGTTTGTGTGCTTTGCTCACTCCAAATGTTAACTTGCTTTTTCTCAGTATTGTTTATTTATTTATTTACCATGTTTATTCTCAACCTCGATGGGGACTCAAGGCGGTTTTACACATAGGCAGCTGTTCAATGCCTTAAAACAATGTACAATTAAAATAAATGTTTTAAGATAGAATTTAAAACACATTAAAACATATAAAAACATTACATTCACTCTTAACCATACTATCTGCAATCGTAATCCGGACCATTCCAGTGGTCATTTCACATAATTCCATATCCATTACAATTGTTATCCAAAGGCTTGATTCCAAAGCCAAAAACTCTCTTTCAGAAGGTCAGGAGGGAGGGGGCTGATGTAGTATCCCTGGGGAGGGAATTCCACAGCTGAGGAAAAGGCCCTGTCTCTTGTCCCTGCCAGTCGTACCTGCGAAGGAGGCGGGATCGAGAGCAGGACCTCTCCAGACAATCTTAAATTCCGAGATGGTTCATAGGGGGAGATACATTTGGACAGGTAAGCTGGGCCGGACCTGTTTAGGTCTTTATAGGCTAAAGCCAGCACTTTGAATTGTGCTTGGAAGCAAACTGGCAGCCAGTGGAGCTAACGTAACGGTGGATTGTATGCTCCCTGTACGCCGCTCAAGTGAGCAATCTGGCTGCCGCTCATTGGGCCCTTTGAAGCTTCTGAACAGTATTCAAAGGCAACCCCATGTAGAATGTATTGCAGTAGTCTATTCGGGATGTAACCAGAGCAGGGACTACCATGGCCACGTCTGACTTCCCAAGGTTCAGGTGCAGCTGGCTTGGGTTGAAGCTGAAATAGAATAGGTATGTGTATCCTTGCTGCCTTACTGGACCTCCAATATCAATGTACTTTCTTCCACATTAATATCAGCCTTTCAGTACCGTTCCAGACAGGCTGACAACCCAATAGAAATCAGCATTGGAAATGTGGTTTCTACCAGGTTTGCAACCAAACAGAGACCCCAGACCCCATGATTCTGCTATAAGGGTGGCTAGATACCCTTCCAGGTCAGCCCCAGCTCAACCCGGGGAGTAATGCCTCCAGCCCTCTGTTTTACTAAAAACGCTACTAGAAAGGCCTGCAAATGGAGGCAGGTATCTTCTGCAGAGTTCCGATTGCATCATTTGGACGTATCAGCAGTTCTGTAGAAGAGTCCTGTCTATGTTTGCAGGCCTCTCTGATAAGTCTCTTAGAAAAATACTGGGATGGGGGGGGGATCCCACTTCTTGGGACTTCTGAAGAACCGGGATGGCTGTGGGGATTGACCCTCAGGATCATGGAAGGCAATCCCGAGAGTCCGTCCATACAGGTCCAATACCAGGCAAGGTACAGGAAGGTCCTTCCCAGGTATTTTTTAACCAGTAGTAAACCTGGAAATCCAAGTGTACTCTGGTTTAAACCACATCAGCCTGAGGCATAGTTTGAATGCCTCCGTCTACTCCATTAAGCCCCCAAGTTTTGGGCCGGTGTGGAAGGGCCCTCAGACTCTTCTTATGAAACCTCTTCCAGTTTTAAGTAAACTAGGTATGATGAGAAAAGTTGTCCTCAAACTTCAGGCCTTTACGTTTTTGGGCCTCCCAACACCCAGGATTCCTGACCATTGAACAAGCTGGAGGGCCAGAGTTTGAGGATGCCTGGATTAGAAAAAGGATATTTTTCATAGTGTCTCATTTCTGAGCATATCTGTC